ATACCTCCACAATTGAGTGGGAAGCTAAAAGCAAAACGAAAGAATAGTAATTGTGATTCTTAAAGGTTTTGGTTTGTTTGCCTATTTACTTTTATTCTATATATCACTAGCAAATAAAGAATGTAATGGCTCATTGAAAATGAATAAGCTTTGCAAAGTAAGAAATAATGCAACAAACCTTGTAATAGCACTTCTAACAAGATCGCTTCCATTTGTTTTCTCCTTCATATAAGCAAGGAGAAGAAAGGTTGCCACCTGTCTTGCCTTGGCAATACAACTCTTTATAGCCTTTAATCCTCTAATATCCTCTAACATGAGGTCTAAACAATAAGCAACCCAATGAATCTGAAATAAGTTCTTTCTCTTTATCATCAAAAAGATCACCTACAACAATATAAGAAGAGTGATTATCGATAACTACTTGCACAATATGTTCTTGTCATATTTCTTTAACAATCTTATTAATCAATTCATACAAGTAAATTGCATTTCGGATTTCATTGGAAGCATCAATTGATTTCAAAAAACAAAATATACCTTTAGGAGAATTCATTCAAGAGTTTATTAAATTACTTTGCCTCTTGTCTATCCATCCATATACATAATACTGTAACCGTAAGTTTAATTTTGAGGTTTGCACTCAAACCCAAATTGTGCAATTGCTTCCAATATAATTTCAAAACTCTTCAATTTTACTTTGTTAAAGGGTAATCTAGTTTGGTAAAACCACATCACAACATATTCATTCACATTTTTTCTTTCTTACTTTTTCAATCGGCTTTCTATGTTTGTTTGCGCTAATTATTCCTTGTGCCTTGCTTCTATCACTTATTTTGGACTTGGCCTCACAAAAGCATCCAGAGGTCCTCTAATATTTTCCTTTTTTTGTGATAATATGGGATTTAATGTTTGAGCACTCCTACCAGTTGAAATGGACCCACCTACTGTGAGCTCCAGGAAGTTCATGGTCAGCTCAAAAAGATGGCATTGCCATCCATTTTTATAAAGAAAATGGGCTCTCATTTTCAGATTTGAAAAATTCAATATAAGTCTTTGATGGTGATTTCGTTTTTCATGGAAAAGGCACACAACCAAGAGATTTCGGGTCCCAAGGATCGGGAGAGGGAAGGTATTAGGCACCCCTCTCTCCAAGTTGCTGTAGCAACCCAATACAAGAGTTGTTCAGGCTCAGTTTCTTTTAGAAAATAATAGAAATGGTTGCTAAAATTTCTTAAATCTGGAGGAACATGCTTCAAAGTTCTCCTAAGACCGACTTTGAGGTGATATTATCGGGTCTTGGGTATTGATTTCCTTAAGACACTAGCCTTTATGCCTCTATTCTTAGTCAAGAAGAAACTGCAAACAATGGTTCTTAAACATTTCAGAACCTCAAGCAACCCAGAAAAACTAAAAAAAGACTTATCTTTTGTATGTACCTTGTCAAAAGTTTTCCAGYAGCTAGGATGAGATAAAATAAAGTTTAAATGGGTTCTTGAGCTAGGGAATGCTTTTGGTTATAACAACTTCTGCTTGAAAATTGAGGATACGAGTTTGGAATTTGAGGTTCAGAGTACCTCCAAATTTCGGGTGAACAAGAGGCTGTATATGGGTTGGGAGAAAGCTCTCTTCTCTCTCTCTTTCTCCCTCTAGGGGACTCCCTCAGGTTTCCTCCCTTCTCCCCTTTGAGCTCAAATTATATCAATATTCATAGAGAATGAGAGGGGGCTAAGTCTGAATTCGTTCAACTATAATGCCTAGGATTCAATAGAGGTTTTTCACACAAATAGACAAAGATTCTTCAAAGAAATAGATGTATAGTCAAGCTTTCCTATTTGGTGAAACATTTTCTTTGATTTGGAGGTGGTTTTCATGGGTTTTGTGCATCCAATGGGATCTTGGGGCGTGCCTGTCATGGCAGTCTCGTATTTGGGGCTGTCAATGACAGAAAATGTAAATTTGATGAACTTTTAAATGTTATTTTTTTCTTGGTTTTAAGTAGGGATATGTTAGGGGTTTTTGGGATTTTTGGGACTATTAGGCTCTATTTCATTAGTCCAAGT